TATATATATATATATATATATATATATATATATATATATATATATATATATATATACATATATAAGCACATGAGAGTCATGGGTACTTGATGAGAGCATTAAAAAGCATTAAATTAGAGTTACTCATTCCTGGATAAACACTGTGTTCAATATTTATTTTTTTCTCAATAGTAACATATTAATGGCCATCATCTTATATCAAAGACATGTTTTAAAAGCCAAATGACTATTTTTATGGTTGGTTGAACATAAACATATTAAATATCCAAATATAGATTTTGAATTTAAAGAAAATATTAAGATCGTCAAATAAAACATTGCCTTTAAAGTTGTTTAAGGATCTGAGAAAATCTAAATTGGAAAATGATCTGATTCACACAGCCTCTCAAAAATAACATAAAGTGCTGTAGGAATCTAATAATCATTAAGTTGGGTCCAGGGGACTGGGATTGCAAAAATACTGATCTAGTGTTTCAAATAAGTCTTTATCTTTTTAGTCAGAATGATATCAGTAAAAATGGAGCAAAAATGCGAGACATTCATAAAAGTGTAGAGCTCTGACACCTTGTCATATGTCACAACCCCTGCCAACAATATGTCACCATAATAAACATCACATCGGGCTAATTAGAGCGGCAGATGTCTTTAGTCATTGTTTTTTTTTCTGTTAGATGATCCGTGAGGCGCTCCAGAAGGACATCACCATCATGCAAAAGAGTTCGCCGGTTGACCTGGTGACCGAGACGGACCAGAAAGTGGAACAGCTCATTATATCTTCCTTAAAGGAAAAGTACCCCACGCACAGGTAAGCTGCTGCAATGGAAAGTCTGCGAAGTGGAACATGAGGTGTTTTTTATCCCACCATAAGAACAGCTGCTTCCTGAGGGGATTAAATGTGGATCAAATGGTTCTGCAGTCGGTGGAGCATCCAACAGTCAAAGAATAAGTGAAGCTGTGTGGTTATATAATGCAGTTGTCAGATGTTACATCGACCACATGTTAAAACCAGGCTGAAACGATACATAATATATCAATTTCTGCTGAGATGGAGAGTCCATCCCTTCTTGCCTGTAGTTGCAAGTAGTTAAGCTCAGTTCCTGGACAACTTCTTGCAAAGCTGATTGTTTACGTGCCAAGCACCATGACGCATGGGCTGCTAATTTCAACCTAATTCAATGTTTTGCTTGTAGGTGTCCAAAGGATTATGTGTTTTGATAAAAATAAATTGATTTTTTTATTGTATTCACATAGGGACGGAGTCAGTCATTGCATATATAAACCAGTAATTCAAAACCTGGTGAGCTAGACTTCCTAAGGGAGGGCTGCTAGGGAGTTCAGGACTGCAGCCAATGCTTAAATACCAAGGAGACTGTCAACCTGTTTTAATCATATAAGCACACATATACAAAGGCAATCAAAGGAAAAAAAATACCAATTAAATTGCTTCACAGTTTCTGTTTCCACAAACGTCTGCCTATTATACGTATCTTTAATAGAATTAAAGCTAATTAAGAAACAAAATGGTACAACTTTAGTGCATTAATTTTTAAATTAAATCTGACATTCTATGTACACACATTCACTCATTACATATGGATATACTGGCAGATCCTGTATCCTAAGTCAAACACAGTGGACAAAGTGGAGTAAAGAAAATGTAAAAGAAAAGAAAAGTGTTTCAGTTCAGCATAGGCCTGCGATATGACTAAGGAGGAAAGGTCTGTTTTGATTAGTTTACACAAAGACTTTATATATATATATATATATATATATATATATATATATATATATATATATATATATATATATGTGTGTGGTT